GGCAAAACCTCAGGGAGCCCAGGTGGGCTCTGGATCTTGGGATCTTCCTGAGACTTGAGCCTGGGACCTGCCCGAGTGGGCCCACTCCACCAGCTGTTCTGGCTGCCCTGGGCTTAAGGTCCTAGCAGCATCTCCCAGTCTCCCCTGGCAGCTTGCTGGGGGAGGGGATTCCGTGGCAACATTGAGGACCTCCCATTGGAGGAATCAGATGCGGCAGGAAAATGTCCTCCTTGCCTTATTCTAGCAACCTTTGATGAGGGGAAGTGGCTGGCTTAGGTTGTGAACTTGATCCTGGTGGGAGAGAGGGTGGGCTACCCCGTGGAGGTCACTTTCTCAGCCTAAGTGGCAATAATACCTCCTTAGGCAGCAGCCGTCAGACCTGGGAGCTTAGTGAGAGCTCTCCCCTGAGAGGAGGCATTAAGCTCTGCATTAGACAGCAAGGCTGATGGGGGCAGGCTGGGATGGGCTTGGGCCTCTTTTGACATTCTGTCCCGGAAGCAGGGTCCCCAAGGGAGAGGCTGTGCTTGCCTTGCTGTCTGTGCCGTTGTCTTTTTCTCCCTGCTTGTCTTAGGTCTTGTGTGGAGTGGGGTGTAGGAAGTGAGAAACAGGAGTGGGACTAAGGAATGCACCCCTGCACCTGCACTGTGGGGGCTGGTACAAAAGGGTAAGAAGAGAGGTGTGCTAATGTGGGGTGTCATCAGAATGTCCTCTCCACCTCTGTCCTGCCTTAGTGGGAATTCCATCCTCAGGGATTCTTGAGTTCCGTTTTGGGTCCTGCTTTGTTAAGATAAGTCAGTGTTTGTCTTTGCCTCAATTTTGCCATCTGTGAAATGGGAATAATTATCATAGTCAATTGCTTTAGTTGCCGTGAAAAGGAATGAGTGATGAATGATATGTAAAATTCATCAGATTTTTCATGATTTTGACCAAGTAATTGCATTTACAGGAATGCATTCCTCCCAAATGCTCATCAACCTTTATGCAATAATTTATATTTGGACAATATCTAACCAGCCCAGGGATACCAGTCACAGGGAATCAGGGAGGGAGTGGTCCAGTAACTTGATATATCCAAATGAAGGGACACTTCATGGCCGATCGGAATCTTAGGTGGAAAACACACAGCGTATGATATTGTAGAAGGAGGGGGTAACATTTATGTCTCATTCATCCTCTTCAGAATCTTGCAAAGCACTTTGCACATAGTAAGTCTTCTGTAAACATTTGTTGAATTATCTTAAGTATATAAAAGTAGTTTCCAACAAAAACAGGCTTGAGGGCAAATATTTCAGAACATTAAAAGGAGTTATTTCTTAGTGATGGGATTACGTATGACTTTCATTTTTTTCTTTGTTTTGGAAATGGAAAAATATTCAGTAATGTGCATAGCACTCTTATTTTTATATGCAATAACTTTATATGTTGGCTATTATGGATATTATATGTTGGATATTATGTTTGTTTATAAAAACAGATGTCTTTAAAAAAATAAAAACACTGCAGAAAAGTATAAAAAAGAAACTGAGGTCACCTTGAGTTCTACCACTTAGCGGTGACAGCCATTACTATGTGGCACACAGCCCCCAGCTCATTCTGTATTCGTGTGTGTGTGTGTGTGTGTGTGTTTCTACATAAGCAGTGTGTTAGTCCATTCTCACACTGCTAATAAAGACATAGCTGAGACTGGGTAATTCATAAAGGATAGAGGTTTAATTGACTCACAGTTCCACATGGCTAGGGAGGCCTCAGGAAACTTACAATCATGGTAGAAGGGGAAGCAAACACATCCTTCTTCACATGGTGGGAGCAAGGAGAAGTGCAGGAGAACGGTCCTTTATAAAACCATCAGATCTCGTGAGACTTATTCACTATCACGAGAGCAGCACAGGAAAGACCTGCTCAGACGATTCAATTACCTCCCACCGGGTCCCTCCTATGACACATGGGGATTATGGGAGCTACAATTCAAGATGAGATTTGGGTGGGGACACAGCCAAACCATATCAAGCAGGTTCTTAGAAAAGGGTTGTCTTGTGACCTTTTCCCATGTTCTGTGTCATGCACAACTTTCTTTGTCAAGACAAGCAGATCTGTGCCGTTTTAAATGGCTGCATGACAGATGGCAGTTTTGCAGATGTGCTGAATTCAACCAAGCAATGCTCTACTAATGTCCATTTAACTTGTTTAAGATTTTTCCTCTTATAATCAATACTGACATATTTTTATAATAGAAAAATAACAACCAAAAATGCCTTTTGGTTTTAGGTTTGGGGATAAACATTTCAACCCAAAGAAAACCAGCCCTGGTTGGGAAGAGAACCACTTTTAAAGGGCTTCATGATGACATTCTCAGTATTTGAAGAAAGGCCGGGGTACAGAGGGAGCAGGTTGGGGTGCAACACAGTGAGGCTCAGAGTGGCTGTTTCAGGAAATAATATTTAGTTCATTGAAAAATGACCTTTACATTGAGCAGAGCCATCTCATTTGGAGAAGGTGTCCCTGCAGCAGTTAGGGTGGGGAGGCGGCTCAGTCAGGGGCTCTCACCAATGGCTTGTGTTAGCTTGGAAAGGCCTCAGGCCCCTCTGAGAGATCCTGTTAGGAAAGTGATGAGGAGCAGGGGATGAGTTTTTGCAGCTGCTTCTGAGGATCAGGAGCTAGGCCCACAGGATGGGCAGCGAGAGGATGCGTTGAATGTTGAGACAGCCTGACCTGGTAGAAAAAGCCTGGCCCGTGGGTCAGATGGCCGTGGGTTCAGATTTCTGTTCTGTCAATTACCAGCAGGTGACCTTGGGAAGGCACCTAGCCTCTTAGAGCCACTCTCATCTGTAAGATGAGCACAGTTACTATTTTTCTGCATGGTGTGAAGGTGTGCGTAACTCCAGTTCCGAGATGGTGCAGAAAAGGAATCCATGTGTTGTTGATCTTAGTGGAAGCAACCCTAGAACATCACCCAGACCAAACTCCTTCCTTCCTTCCTTCCTTCCTTCCTTCCTTCCTTCCTTCCTTCCTTCCTTCCTTCCTTCCTTCCTTCCTTCCTTCCTCCTTTCTTCCTTTCTTCCTTTCTTCCTTTCTTCCTTTCTTCCTTTCTTCCTTTCTTCCTTTCTTCCTTCCTTCCTTCCTTCCTTCCTTCCTTTCTTTCTTTCTTTCTTTCTTTCTTTCTTTCTTTCTTTCTTTCTTTCTTTCTTTCTTTCCTTTCTTTTCTTTCTTTCTTTCTTTCCTTTTCTTTCTTCCTTTCTTTCTTTTCTTTCTTTCTTTCTTTCCTTCTTTCTTTCTTTCTTTCTTTCTTTCTTTCTTTCTTTCTTTCTTTCTTTCTTTCTTTCTTTCTCTCTTTCTTTCTTTCTTTCTTTCTTTCTTTCGAGTTTCCTTCTTGTTGCCCAGTCTGGAGTGCAATGGCACGGTCCCAGCTCACTTCAACCTCCACCTCCCGGGTTCAAGCGATTATCCTGCCTCAGTCTCCTGAGTAGCTGGGATTACAGGTGCCCGCCACCATGCCCGACTAATTTTTTTGTATTTTTAGTAGAGATGGGGTTTCACCATGTTGGCCAGGCTGGTCTTGAACTCCTGACCTCAGGTGATCCGCCTGCCTCAGCCTCCCAAAGTCCTGGGATTACAAGTGTGAGCCGCTGCATCCGGCCAGACCAAACATTTCTAAACTCCTGGAGGACAGGGACTTTGTTTCTCAAAGTAGCTTGGACTTGGGTTGAGCTCTTGGCCGTACCCAGAACTTTTGACTAAAGTTGGCTAAGTGAGAAGACTGGGCTGCAGGTGAACATAGGGCGTGTGTGTGCGCCTGCGCGTGCGCATGTGTGAGCATGACAGTGTTGAGGAAGAGGTGGAGGCAAGCGGGAGCTGCCCCAGGGAGATAGATGGCAGAGGGGACAGCTGGAGTGAGGCCTGAGGGAGATTCTGCTGTGTGGGGCTCATTGGGGGAGCTTTCTGGGGTAGGGAGAGCCTCACTCCTGGAATGGCCTGCCTTGGTGAGGCTGAGTGAGGCTGGGTGGGGCAGACAGCTCTTCAGGTGGGTCCAAGGTGGCCTTGGAAGGAAGGAGGGGCCCGGCAGCCCGGCATGGGGTGAGAGGAGGAGCTGTAGGCCTGGCCCCAGGACCCAGATGGTGGGGGTGGCCTCCCTTCCTGGCCACCCTCCTGCTCACTGCTGCAGGACTGGCCTCCTGGCAGGCCCCCCATCCTCCTGACCCAGAGCTTCCGCTGGCCCTCAGTTTCTTCTCTGCTTGCTCTCTCCAGCCTTCTGTAATCTGGCCCGCCTTCCCCCAGCCCTGCTTCTCACAGCTTCCAACTCTCTGGCTGTCTGCTGCCCGCTTCACCCCTCAGCTACTCCAGGCCTGATGCAGTGTGGTCCTCGGGGCACGTCTGCTCCCTCCCGGTCGTGTGCAGTTCTTCCTTGTCTTGGAGCCTCAGCTTGAGTTCCATTTCCTCAGTCCTTTAAAATTGCGTGGCCCTCCTTGCTGTCTCCTGCTCAGAATATGGACAGCTCGCAGGAGCCAGTGCCACCAGACGATAACACTGGTGTCCCCATGGGGCCCTTTGCAAGCGCAGGCCATGCCCTTTACTTGCTTATACCCTGTGCTGACCCTGTAAGTTAGACACAGTTGTCGTCCCCATTTTATAGATAAGGAAACTGAGGCTTAGCGAGGATTCTACCTGAATAGCCTCTCTCCTTGACTAGTTTCCACATTCTTCCCTGGGTGAATGTCTCATCTCTCCAACTAGACCGAGCTGCATTAGTGGCAGAAACCACGTTTTCGGTTTCCACAGCACTCCCAGTGATGCGCCCTGTGCCCTGCAGTTCCAGTGGGTTGGACATCAGCTGCAAAGAGAGCCCAGCTTGTTGGGCCTCGACACAGACTAAACTCACAGAAGCCCCCAGCCCCACTGATGAGATGACTGGCTGATCCAGGGGGGGCGGGCACCTGGAGCAGAGCCCCTGGCCTGGGGGCTCACCCTGCTCACTTCACTGCTTCCTTCTCTCCTTCTTCCTCCAGGGAACTCAATGGCAACAACATCACTCGGATCCACAAGAATGACTTTGTGGGGCTCAAGCAGCTGCGGGTGCTGTGAGTATGGGGTGCTCCCTCCCACCCCACCCCCGGCAATGCCACGGTGGTCCTGGGCAGGGCCCTGGCTGTGGGTGGTAGGGTGGTGGACTGGCTGGGCCCCTCCACTGTGGAGTCGATCTTGGCAAGACATCCTGAGGGGTGTCGGGTGGGGTGATGTTCAGTCTTGAGTCTTAACTCATCATAAGATCCGACGTCCTGTGCTCTCGGGGTGGTTCAGGGATCCTAGGACCTCAGTTCTTTCAGAACTCCCGCCTCTGCAGTTCTGAGGGTCTTTGGAGGAGCAGGGACCTCATGACCAACCGTCTCTGAGGTCAGAGCTGACAAGCTGCTGGGTAGGGATCTGCTCCAGAACCCCCTGACCTCTGCCCCTTCCCAGGCTCTGGGTGTGTCCCTTCTGAGTCTGGGGAAGCCCACGCTCTCTCCAGGGATTCCCCTCCCCTCTGCCCCCAGGCCTCCAGAGGGAGCCTCTCACACTTCAGGCTTTTGGAAACAAAGCAGAGAAAGAGAATTGTCTGGTGGTGTTTCCCCCGCAGCCCTGCCCCCAACGTCATCTGAGGCCCATGCAGGGGCACGCAAGCCACCTGCTTGCGGGTGGAGAGGGACAGATGCAGTGGGAAAAACATACTTGACTATCTCAAAAGTTATCAGGCAACAGTCAATCTGTTGGTGAAAAATGCTGCCCCACCAGCAGGATGCTCTGGGTTTCAGGGCACGTTGGCGGCAAGGGGACGCAGAGTCCCACAGAGCCAGGTGGTTCAGTTGGCGTGGGCACCCCACTCTTGTCTTCAGCAGATGGGGCCAGGCGGGGTGGGGGTACAGGCAGAGAGGGTGTTGTCTGCCAATTGTAGAGTGTGTTGCTGCCTGTGTGGGCTCTGCCCAGTTGGCACAGGCTCCCCTCCCCCTGATACTGGCCGGTCCCCCCTGTTCTGTCCCTTGGACATGTGCCTTCAGGGCCCAAAGAGGCCAGGGCACGTGCGCCAGCAGCTCAAGCCAGCCTGTGCTGCCTGCTGCTGGGCCTCGCTCCCTGGAGCCTGATTGGAGCGGAGACATGGTGCTCGGGTGCCCCGTGGCCCTCTGCCCTGGCAGGCAACTTCAGAGGGTTGGGGGTTGCAAGTGTATTTTGCAGTGAGGTGAGATGCTGGGAGCCCTGAGGAGCCCATGTCAGCGAATTTGCAAAGGTGTAAGGAAATTGGGTCTGCTCAGGCCAGGCGTAGGCCTGTGTAAGGCTTGGGCATGGCTCCTGTCTTACTCCCTTGCCAATGCTGCCCTGGCAGAGGTTGCCTCTGCCCCTCCGTCATGCCAGCTGTTGCTAGCAGCTCTTGTCCCACACCCTGTAGCTGTCCTTGTCTCTTTGCTTCCCCAGGCAGCTGATGGAGAACCAGATTGGAGCAGTGGAACGCGGGGCTTTTGATGACATGAAGGAGCTGGAGCGGCTGTGAGTCCTGGCAGGGTGCGGGCCAGGAGGGCGGGGGGCTGGCACGTGAGGGAACTGGCAGGCCAAGCTGCTGCCGGGGATGAGGGGCACTCAGGGGAGGGGACCCCACGCCCAGCCTGCCTCCACCAGCGGATGGAGCCAGGAGCAGCTGCAGCTGTGAAAGTGATCACAAGGCATGGTCACAGAGAAACCTGGAGTGGGTCCCCACCCCACATTCTCCATGCAACTGTCCCTGTTGTTGTTCCCTGAAGATATGTGATGGCAAAAAATTTACATAATAATACAGAGGAAGTGAAATTTCTTCCTGTCATCTCATCCTGACATAACTGCTGTTCATTGATTTGTGTGTCCTTAAAGGAAGCCGTGGTGTGCCAAGGGGACCCATCAGGGAAGCCCTGGGAGATTGGTGTCTTAGGTGCACAGGGCCACAATCCAGAAATGTGAAGGTGGAGGCGTGTTCTGATTCACATGGTTTGTTGCTGAATAGGGCTTTTAAGTTTGAAAATGGGTCTTGATCAAGTTTTGCATTTCAGTTTGGCAACGATGAAAAAAAGAAACATGGCGGGGTGAGGTGGGGGATGGGCACTCATAGTCACGGTGGTTGCCGATCGCTTCCTTCTGAAAGTGGACTGGGTGTAGGTTTTAAGAGTCCTAAAGTTCATGCTCTTTGAACCAGAAAGTCCGTTTTATTTTAAGTAAATAATCAGAGACATGGCTAAAAATTATATATCAGGATATGAATTGCATTTTATTATTTATTTGTTTGTTTATTTATTTATTTATTTATTTTTGAGACCAAGTCTTGCTGTGTCTATCAGGCTGGAGTGCAGTGGCATGATCTCGGCTCACCACAACCTCCACCTCCCGGGTTCAAACGATTCTCCTGCCTCAGCCTCCCGAGTAGCTGGGACTACAGGTGCACGCCACCACGCCTGGCTAATTGTTTTTGTATTTTTAGTAGAGATGGGGTTTCACCATGTTGGCGAGGCTGGTCTTGAACTCCTGACCTCAGGTGATCCACCTGCCTCAGCCTCCCAAAGTGCTAGGATTACAGGCATGAGCCACCGCATCCAGCCATTGCACATTATTTCAATAGAAAAAAATTGGAAATTCATTCTAGTGGATACATAAGATATAAAATCACATTTCTGAAGAACAGTTAAGGCCATGGGAATGTGCTTGCAATATAATGTTAAATGGAAAAGATAGAAAATGACAATAGTATTACTAAAATAAATTTGCATGTGGATAGAATACAGGAGGAAGAAGACAACTGGAACCACTGACTCTCATTATAGTGAGTGGTGGATTATAGGTAACTTTATTTTTATTCTTTGTGTTTTTCTCTTTTAATCAATTTTCTTATGACAAGTTTATTATTATGTAGGGGAGCTACCACCACTCTATGCCAGGCACCTGGGGCAGCTCTTTGCCTTATATTATCTCATTTAATCCTTAAAACAACACTGCTCTAAGTGGTATTTCACAGATGAGAAAGAGAGGTACACAGAGATTAAGTCACTTGTCCCCAGTTGTGCAGAAGAAGGGATTAGAACCCAGATCATTTTGCCTTCAAAGTCTGAGCTCTTAATGAAGATGACCTGATACCTCACCTTTCTGTTTTGTTTTTTTTTTTTTTTTGAGACAGAGTTTCACTCTTGTTGCCCGGGCTGGAGTGCAGTGGCATGATCTCGACTCACTGCAATCTCCGCCTCCTGGGTTCAAGCGATTCTCCTACCTCAGCCTCCCGAGTAGCTGGGATTACAGGTGCCTGCCACCACGCCCAGCTAATTTTTTATATTTTTAGTAGAGCCTAAAACTAAAAAAAAACCAACTGAAAAAACCAACTAAAACTGTTGTTTTAGTATGTTTTACCATGTTGGGCAGGCTGGTCTTGAACTCCTGACCTCAGGAGATCCGCCCGCCTCAGCCTCCCAAAGTGCTGGGATTACAGGTGCACACCATCATGCCTGGCTGAGCATGCATTTTTATTTATGATAAAAAAAATCAATAAAGCTGTTTTCTTTTCTTTTTTTTTGAGACAGAGTTTTGCTCTGTTGTCTAGGCTGGAGTGCAGTAGCACAATCTTGGCTCACTGCAAACTCTGTCTCCTGAGTTCAAGCGATTCTCCTGCCTCAGCATCCCGAGTAGCTGGGATTACAGATGCCTGCCACCACGCCCGGCTAATTTTTGTATTTTTAGTAGAGATGGGGTTTCACCATGTTGGCCAGGCTGGTCTCGAACTCCTGACCTCAGGTGATCCGACCGCCTTGGCCTCCCAAAGTGCTGGGATTACAGTTGTGAGCCACCGTGCCTGGCTGCTATTTTCATTTTGAAAAAAGACCCAAAGCAAACAATAAAAAAAAGAGAAACCTCTGTTAAACCAAATGTGGATGAAATCAGGGCTGTGTGGCCATTAGGGTATATCTCCCATTTCAAGTGTAGTCAGGTTTCCAACTCACAGAGGGAGATAGCATTGGAATCAGTGCCTTAGAAACCACACAGGGCTTGCAAATGTGAAGTGATGATGATGACGGCTATGGGAAGAAATAGTGGAAGGAGAGGTGCTGGTGAGGGGCTTCCACAGACGCTCTGTTCTTATCCTCGCCACATGCTGGGTGGTGGAATCTCCACTTTACAGATGAAGAACTGAGGCCCAGAGAAGGTAATTTCCCTGGGATGCCGCATGGACCCTGTTAGGATTTGAACGCTGGACATTCTGCTTCTGAATCCGTCGGGTGCTTTCTGAGAAGTCCTTTGGATTTCCTGGCCGTCTAGGTGATTTCCAATTCTTCTTCTCTTTTTTAGGCGACTGAACCGAAACCAGCTGCACATGTTACCGGAACTGCTGTTCCAGAATAACCAGGCTTTGTCAAGACTGTGAGTGACGTTCTGTGGCCAGAAAGTTCTCCCTGTGGTTTTGTCTCTCACCCTGTGGGAGGCACAGTGTTCGGTCAGTGGGGCCTGGATGTTCCCATGACCTTGACCCCGTGCTTCTCCCCTGGCAGGAATGGTCCAGGGCATCAAAGGCCAGGCCCTTTCTGTAGGAAGGTGCTGTGCAGGGTATTTCTCCATCGCAAGCACTTGGAAGAACCCACAGTTCATCCAGATTTGTGAGCTGCCGCTGACGGTGTGGGTACAAGGGTGTTCTGCCAGCAGGCACGCTTGTGGACGGTGATGCCAGCCTTTACAGGGGCTCATTCTTACACATCTCTCACTGCGCCTTTGGTAACCAGCCTGGAGCTGAATATTTATTCATTCAACTAAGCCCTTCTTGAACCTATTTCTGTTTTCAGCTCTTTCTACCTTTTAGGGTCATGAGGTCTGTAAGGTTATTAACCATGGTCGTATTTTTATTTGCTGTCAGTGTACTTCTTTCAAGTTTAAAGGATAGTTGCTAATTCTGCTGCACCATGATTTGCCACATGTGTCTGTAATTTTTCTACCATATATTTCATTTTATGGGAATTGGGTTGGACAAGACCTTTTAGATTATCTAAGGAATCTTTTCTGCAGCTCCTTAGCATATGGTACCGCAGTCTTTGCTTGGCTACCTCTAGTGATGGGGAGCTCAGCACTTCTGCAAACAATCAACTCTATCGCTGGACAAAAAAGTAAATTAGAAAATTTTTAACTCTGGGCCCTAAATCTGCTCTCCAGTAACTTATATTTTTCTTAGTTTGCTTTCTATAACTACCTAGCTTTTGAAGAGCTGTCAGGTTTTTGAATGTTGAGTTGTGAGGTTTTTTATTTCCCTTAATTATTGTCATTAATAACCTTAAGAACCACTGGCGGGGCCTTCTGCATGCCTGGCACGGCACTACTGGTTCGTCCCTGAAGGAGCTTATGGGTTAGTACCTAGGTAGAGAAAGGGGTAATAAGCAATGTAGGGAAGACTGAGGGGTGTGGGTTGGGTGGGAGGTGGCAACCTAGGGTTACCTGAGTGCTAAGGGGTCTGACCATGGGCTCCTAGAGTCAGGGGCTTGATTTTGTCTCCTCTGATTAAACACAGCTAGCTCTTTCTGCCTCTGCCATGATTTCTAGACCTCTCTCCAAGCCCAGTGATCTCCAGAATTTGTTGATCTTACCTTCAAACTTTTATTTATTTTTGAGACGAGATGTTGCTCTATTACCCAGGCTGAATACAGTTGCACAATCTTGTCTCACTGCAGCCTCAACCTTCTGGGCTCAAGCGATCCTCCCACCTCAGCCTCCAGAGTAGCTGGGATTCCAGGTGTGCACTACCACGCCTGGCTAATTTTTAAATTTTTTTTGTAGAGACAGGGTTTTGCCATGTTGCCCAGGCTGGTCTCAAGCTCCTAGGCTCAAGCAATCCACCAGCCTCAGCCTTCCAAAGTGCTGGGATTACAGGTGTGAGCCACCGCGCTTGGCCAAGCTTTTATCTTTACAATGGAACTCTAATTTTTAGTCCGTTGGAATGGTCTTTCTGATCACTTCCTGTTGCTTCCTCCTCCTGGCCTGGAGACCACTCCACAGTGACCTTTAGTGATGATCTCTTTTGCTGGTCTTTGTCACCACCCTTGGGCTTGAGTTGGGCCTTCTCCAGTTTTCCTGTAACTGATAGGTTGCCCAATCCATTCTGTGCTAGGCATTAATTTTTCCCTACTTCATTGTGAAAGGCAGAAGATTCTTCCCAGCAGGTGCCTCCATGGTAATGTCTGTTGAACCTGTGGGCCATGCACTGGTCTATGTGGACCATGCTGTTGCTGGCCACATGCAGGCAGCTGGCCTTGCCCTGCCTTGGCCCCAGCAGCTCCTGTTTTCTCTCTGCTGTTCTTTCTCTGCTGACTTGCAAGTGTTATCACAGCTCTGCCTTTCTGCAAAAATTCGTCTTGAATGTCTTTTCTCTTGGTCTCAATTGTGCAATTCTTTTCCCCTCCTATGTCCTCTTAACCTTTCAAGCTTTTGTCCTTGCTCTCCTGGCATGATTTGCCTCCTTGGGTCCCTTCTCCTTCCCATAGTGATCCGCTGCCCTTCACCTTGCTGGGATCGAGGCATATGTATACTGTATAGTTGCCATCAAGCTCTGTGTGCCTGCTTTCACTCTCCCTCGTTGATTTTAAAATCTCCAGGACCCATCATGTGAATCTGAATCCACCAACTTCCAGCCCTTTACTTGAGATCATCTCCAGCTATATTCATTTTTAGGGGGGAGCTAACTTCTTTTGTCATAACCTTCCACCTGCCCTTGGGGGTAAAGGATAGCTCTGCAGGGGACTCCCTCCCTTCTTTACTCGAGTCCACCCTTCTCTTTGGACTTTGGTGCCTTGCACACCCCTGTGTTCCTTCCTGAGGAAAGTAACAACTTGGCTGCCTCCTTGGCCTGTGTCTGGGAAACTTGGATCCCCCCTGGAATGGAAGGTGGCCTGGGAAGCAGAAAGTCAAGGGTCAGGTGGTCCTGGGCTTTTCAAGGCATAACTTTGGGTGGTTTAATTGCTCAGAGCCCATTTCTGTTACCCGTACATGGTAGGGCTAGCAGGAGTGTGAACTGGGACTGTGCATGTAACATAACCAAGCCTGCAGCTGGCCCTCAGCGGATGTTCATCCATCATGCCCCTGATAACTCAGGGTGAGCAAATAGCCCCTCGGTGAAGTGGGTGCTCCTGTGCTTGATGTCTTGTCTAACACATGTGGCCATGAGGCAAGCAATGTCTCCCAGTGTTACTGCCAGTGGGACTGGTTGGAAAGAGGAAGTGACTTCCCGAGAGTCAGGATGGAGCCCTCTGACTCCTAGCCCCGCCCTCTTCATGGTTTCATATTTTACAGGAATCCTAGAGGAAAGGACATCTACATTTTAACGAGTATTAAATAGCCAGATTCTATAACCAAAGGCTGGCACAAGGAGATTAATTCAAGGAGCAAAAAGCCATTGCAGAGGACAGCAGTCTGTGTGACACCTGCTCTTGGCACCCTATGGGGCTGGGAGCAGAGGCCTCTAGACACATTGGGTATCCTCATTGCAGTGGTCCCAGGCCAGCTGCTTTGGGGAAGGGGCTGGTTGGCAGCCAACAGAGGGACTTCCAGAAGGGCAGTGGAAGTCTTGGTGGCCCTTTGGAGGGTGTTTCTAGGCTCTAGAGCCAGAACTTCTCCCTAACACTTACTGCCTTTTCTTTCCACGCATCAGGTCCTTAACTCTTAGCAGGAAACATTTCTCATCCAGGAGCACAGCAGGATTTGGGTGAAGGTAGACTCTTTTCGTTAGCTCTCCCCTTGACATTTCTTAACCTCATCTGTAAGCAAGGCATGCAAACCAAGAGGCAAGCCCTGCAGTCCTGCAGGGCTCTGGGAGGACTCCCACACAGTGTGCCCTGCTTAGTTTCCACTGAGGCCAAGGCATTTGGTGGCCTCCAGGTCAGGCCATCTCAAAATAGGCACTGTCTGGGGGAAATGATTCAACAAACCTTATTCATCTGGTTGTTCGTCCCTGGTGTCTGGACTCACCGGGTCACCTTGGAGATGGTTATAGGGAAGGATAGAGGGGCGAGTGTTTAAAGATCTACTTGTTAATATTCTTCTAATATTACTGTGTATGCATTCGCCCTGGCCCATTCTATTGACCTGAGCACCTGGCATTCTAAAGTATCTCTGTTAACTCCTGGAGTTGGTCTGGCCAAGGAGTACTCGGCACGCTTGGTTCCAGAAACAGAATACCCTGCCGGCTGGTGATAGTAAAGGTGGAGGTGGGGTTTTGTAGGGGCACAGCTGGCAGGCTTCCAGGCTCCCAGAGCAGGAAGTGAGATCCAGCTGGCCCTCCCAGGGACCCGCACTGAGATGTGAGGGCCGTTTCTAGTTCTTTCTGAATATCTACTTTATTGTCCTGCTCTTCCCTGCAAACCAGTGTTCTGGGCTCATCAGCAGCATCTCGGTTCCATCATAACTCGGGTCAGCCATGGTGCCAATTCGCCTCCTACTTCCTGTGACCTCAGAGCTCAGATCCACACAGTGTCTTAGGCCCCAACTCTGGGTTTCTTGGAGAAAGAATCTGATTGGCCCATCTTAGGTCAAGAGGTCACACCAGACCAGTGAGCTGTTGGCGGGGATTGTGGGATCCACTGGTGCAGTGACACTATGGTGTCCACCCTATCTCGGGAGCTGGAGGTGGGACCTATTCCCTTAGAAGGCAGTGCCTGGCATTCCTGGTCTCTCACTTGTTGACCTCCCCTTTGCTTTGGAGGGATCTGTTACTAATCCTTCCCATCTGGAGCAAATTATGGACTTTCATGCACAGGCTGTTATGCTAAATCAGCATGAAAATGGGTTTGAGAGAGACCAAATGTGCTGGGTAAGGCGTGGTCACCAAGTCTGTAGGTGGTGGCACAGCCCACATTTCAGTTGATTTTGTCTGTGTGGCCTCCAGAAGTTAAAATCCTGTTAGGGGTTATTCTGCACTGATATTTCCCCTGCTGTGGGGTTAGTCTGTCCATTGCAGGATCTATGGCTCAGAGAGGTGATTTGCCTTGGACCACAGAGCAACTTGATGATAGGGTTGGAATTAGACACCAGGCCTTCTAGGGGCCCTGAAGAGCCTGAAAGTGGTCTTAAACCTTGACCTAGGAATCTCGTATTTGGGGATCTGCCCTAAAGAAATAATAAAACATGAGCACAGACGTGTTCGTTGCTGTATTATTTAGAATATTGAAATATAGAATAATGAAAAGAATAGGGAAATAACATATATGGCCAATGCTGGGGGCATGATGAAGTAAATGATGATGTATCTACTTGATGGAATATTTATACAGTCATCAAAAATGGCCTTTTTGAAAGATGTCAAGTAATGTAGATAAATGTGTTTGATATCAAAAGCCAGGATTCCAAACTGCATTGACAATATGACCACTTGATAAATCACTCTAAAT